AACAAAACTTTTGGGGGTGGGGCAGGGCACCCAGTTTCTGTCAGGGCACAGACAGGGATGGAATTCCTGCTGGTCAAGAAGGTGGGTGGAGGTGGGAGATGGCCACACCTCTGTTCACTAAGAAGGTGTGGGGTATAAGAGTAACAAGTGGAATATCACATCTTTCTAGTCGTCAGCCTCCAGTGCAATTGCCCATGCTGTCTGTGGCAAGTGGAGCCCATTCTTAGGTGGCTGTCCAGGTCAGAACACCATTTGCATATATTCAAAATGATCATGCCACATGCAAATATTCAAAATGGTTGTACCCTTAACAGCCGGCCATCCACATCTCCGTTTGTCTCCTTACTCTGTTTTCATTCAGTTTCTTCTACTAGTTGGTATTTAACCCACTTATTTATCCCTCTCTTCAAAGTTCAGGGTTCTAGGATCTTCTTCTGTATTGGTTTCAATTGGTTTCTCATTCATTTGTTGCAGAGGGTCTGTGTAGCTTGTCTGCCTATTCCACCATTTTGCTGGAAGTCTCCCTCTTCCACTTTTAAGGACCTTGTGATTGCAGATAACTGAGGATTTCTGTTGTCATTGTTGTTAGGTGCCACCAAATAGGTTTTGACACATAGTGACTCTATGTACAACAGAATGAAACACTGCCCAGTCCTATGTAATCCTCACAATCCTTTCAGTGCTTAAGCTCATCGTTGCAGCCACTGTGTCATTCCGTGTTGATGAAGGTCTTCTCCTTTTCTCTGATCCTCTTCTTTACCCAGCATGATGTCCTTCTCCAGGGAGTAGTCCCTCCTGCTAACATGACCAAAGTACAAGAGATGAGGTCTGGCCATTATTGCTTGCAGGAGTGTTCTGGCTGTACTTCTCCCAAGACACATTTTTTCTTCTGTCAGTCCGTGGTATATTCAGTATTTGCCAACACAACAATTCCAATGCATCAGTTCTTCTGCAATTTTACTTATTCATGTTCAGCTTTCACATGCATATGATGCTATTGAAAAGACAGTGGCTTGGGTCAGGCACACTTTAGTCTTCAAAGTGACATCTTTGTTCTTTAACACTTTAAAGAGGTCTTTTGCAGCAGATTTGCTCAATGCAAAGCATTGTTTGATTTCTCAACTGCAGCTTCCATAAATATTGATTGACTATCCAAGTAAAATGAAATTGTTGACAACTTTAGTCTTTTCTCCATTTATCATGATGTTGCTTATTTTTCCAGCTGTAAGGATTTTTGTTTTCTCTGTGTTGAAGTGTAATACCTACTAAAGGCCGTAGTCTTTGATCTTCATAAGTAAGTGCTTCAAGTCTTCTTCACGTTAAGCAAAAAAATGTCAGTTCGTCGTACTATGGTAGCTTGCATGTTGCTGTGATTCTGGAAGCCATGCCACCAATATTTCCAATACTAACCGGGTCACGCATGGTGGACAGTTTCAGTGATGCTTCTAGGAGGAAGGACGTGGTGGTCTACTTCTGAAAAAAATTGGCACTGAAAATCTTATGAATATCTCAGAGGGCAAGAATGCATAGGAAAGAAGGACCCAGGCAATCAATGTCATGAAACAAAATGTGTATGAACTGCTGTATGGAAAATGAATTTACTCATAAACCTTTACCCAAATCACACACATACACAAAAACCTTATGAATACTAGTGAAACCCAGGATAATCTCCCTATTTTTAAGGTGAGCTGGTAGCAACATTAATTCCTATGTGCTATGTAAGCTAGCATGTTCGCAAGTTTTAGAGATTAGGACATGACATCTTTGGTGAGTCATTGTTCTGCCTTCTACCTCAGGATATGTGTCTACATCCTAGGGTAGCTGAGGGAGTAAATAAGACAACACGTGCCCAGCATACAGCACAAGTGGGCTGTTGCTCTTACCATCCTTAGCATCATTTTCAGCACCGGGGAAGCCAGTCTTTGGGTCATCTGCTCCCTCCATTCTTTGTCTTGTCCATTGGACATTGTCATTCCTTTCTCATATCACAGTCTGCCCTGCGGCCCCCAGTGTCAGGCCACCCAGCAAACAAATACTTAAGAAGATAGTAGAGAAACCTTTCTGCTTCACAAAGCCAAGAAGGGTGGCAGAGGTTGGTGCAAATCAGACAGACACCACACAGTTCCAGGCATTGCCACGTTGCCCTGATTCCAGGACTTCCCCTCCTTTAGAATATCACAAGCCCCCAAGATCTTCTTGCCTAGCATTCACTTTACATTACACTTTAGGTAGACACTTCCTAGGTTTCTTTCTTCCCAGCCCAGGAGAACCCCAAGCACAGGGACTCTGACTCTAAGATATCCTTCATTGCAGAATTATTTTATGTTCCACGAGGAAAGAAAAATGCTGCCCTTTGGACCTGACAAAAAAACCTTGCATTAGTTCTCCTGCGATCTTACTCATTCATTGTTCAGCTATCACATGCATATGATGCTATTGAAAAGACAGTGGCTTGGGTCAGGGACACCTTAGTCTTCAAAGTAACATCTTTGCTCTTTAACTCTTTAAAGAGGTCTTTTGCAGCAGATTTGCCCAATGCAAAACATCATTTGATTTCTCAACTGCAGCTTCCATTGACATTGATTGTACATCCAAGTAAAACGAAATTGTTGACAACTTTAGTCTTTTCTCCATTTATCATGATGTTACTTAGTGGTCCAGTTGTGAGGATTTTTGTTTTCTTCATGTCGAGATGTAATACATACTGAAGGCTGTAGTCTTTGATCTTTATAAGTAAGTGCTTCAAGTCGATCCTAACCCATCGCAATCCCATGGGACAGAGTAGAACTGTACCATAGGGTTTCCAAGGCTGTAAATATTTACAGAAGCAGGCTTCCCCATCTTTCTCCATGGAGCCCTGGTGAGTTTGAACTGCCAAACCTTTGGTTAGCAACCAAATGCTTTAACCACCGTGACACCAAACCAAAACCAAATTCACTGCCGTGGAGTTGGATCCAACTCCCAGTGACCCCTCCTTGGGTTTCTGAGGTGGTATCACTACAGAAGTAGATTGCCCAACTTTCCTTTTGAGGAGTAGCTGGCGGGTTTGAACTGCCAGCCTTCTGGTAAGCAGTCAAATACCTTAGACACTACACTACTAGAGCTTCTACCGTGACACCAGATCTCCTTGATTAGACGTGAGGGGCCATCAGTTGTAAGACTTGTTTCTATTTAGAAATGCTAGTATTAGAAAACCTGTGCATTCTGAAATATTTCATTTGTTTTCCATAAAATAGCATGTTTAGTGCACAGTGATTCTCAGTAAACTTGTTTTGTTGGCCAGATTAACACGATGCCTGCTGCAGAGTAGGGATCCAATAGATCTGTGTTCAATGCATAAATATATTAAAAAAAAAATTGTAAATAAACAAATAAATGTCTGGGCAGAATGTCCCAGCTCAGCTTGCACTCAGTGTCTTTACATAGATACATTGTTTTCCTACAGGCAGTAAAAGGGAAAGGCATTTGTCTGCTAAACGGAAGGACGATGCAGAAGTCTTCATTCCCAGCAAATCTGAGCCAACCCTGAATCACCAGCCCCCCGCCACACTCTCAGACCAGGAGAAGCCCTGCTCCAGTAAGTTCAAGTGCCACTGAGCAAAGTGGGCAGGGCCCCCTCAGTGGGGGCTGTCGTGGGGGGGCCCTTGCTTCACTCCCCTCCCCACTGAGAGCTGAGCTGACTTTTAGCTGCTTTCTGGTTCTACAACAAATTTGTGGTTGCAGTTGAAAATTGCTGTTACTTTTGTTTTCACTTTAAAATTAATTTGCTCAGTTTAGCTGGGTAATAATAATACATGAAGTGGTACAAAATTCTAAATGTACAGAAGAGTTTATGGTGCTTAGTCAGTCAGTCTCCTTCCGTTCTCATGATTTGAGAAGTTACATATATTGAGCCAGCCACTAATGTGAGTTTCTACTTACATCATCGCATATCATCCTTACAGCTGGTGTTAGAGGTAGGCTCTGCGATGGTACCCATGTCACAGATGAGGAGTGAGGCCCAGAGCAGGCAGTTTACCCAGCTGGAAAGGGGCAGGCATAGGACTTGGCACTGGTGGAGTGATGCCACTGCTGGTCCCTAACCAGGAACTTGCACGCAGTGGGCCTGCAGGTCTATCACCTCATCCTGATGTCTGGGGTCAAAACCGGTGGCTGGAGTAGCTGTGTGGGGCCATCTGCTTCTGGGTCATCTGTGACCTAAGGCACCTCAAAGAGCTCAAAGCATCCTAGTGTTGTCCCAAGAATTTGTCCTGGGTGTAATCCAGTCCTGTCCAAATCAGTCTTATAAATGACAGAAGCATTGGTCTAAGCCCTGACCTCCTGTCATTAGACACACTCCATCCTTGTTTACTGGGGAGCTGGACGGACTGTATCCTATGGCATGGCTGAGGGACTTGGTGGTGGGAACCAGCTTCCTCACTCCAAAATGGGGCCGGGGGTACCGTCCCACTTCCAGCCTGAGGCCTGAGGCTTAAAGCTCTTGTCTCAGGAGCTCAGGATGCATGGAGGAGGGAAGAGTAAGTGGAGACCCAGCAGGAAACAGAGACAATAATAATGACCATTTATTGAGCATTTACTCAATTGCTGTCCATATTGTCTTGATTTGGATTCCCCTAGAAGCAGACTCTGAGATAATGATTTGAGGGAAACTAATTTACTTGGGAAGGAGCTCTGGTAGCTTAGTGCCTAAGGCACTTGACGGCTAATCAGAAGACTGGTAGTTCAAACATACCAGCCATGCCTCAGAAGGAAGGTTGGGCAATCTACTTCTGTAGTGATACTGCTTAGGAATCCCAAGGAGGGGTTGCTATGAGTCCGGTCTGACTCAACAGCAAATAACAACAACAGTTTACTTGGGAGGTGATCCCAGGTAGGGGAGGAGGAAGTGAGACAGGGAAGAGAAGGAGCCAAACTGGATTCATTATCGAGCACATTCCACTGGGCAAGTGGAGCTCCACCTCACCAGGGAAGGTCTGGGAAGCAGGGTGGAGTCCAAGCCTCTGTGTTTACCACCTTCTGTGGTAGTTAAGATTATAAGTCACCTTGGATGGGCCTGGTTCTGAGTGGCTGGGCAGCTGCTGGTAGTTATTCTCCATGATGAGACTGGCAATCAACTGCATGGTGGAATCTATTGGAGCAGCTGCTTTAGGGATGGAGTCTGCTTCCCGTATATGAGGAGAAGCTTTGGGAATGGTCTCTAACTTATGGATGCTTGAACCCTAAATGTAGCCGAATTCAGCAGCCTGCTGTGTTGCCCCGCCCATTTTGTGACTTTTTCAGGACTTGAATCAATGGCCTGCCGTTTGGTTTGGTAGTATCAGGACCGTGCCATTTTATTGGTCGACCTTGGGCTTGTCAGTCTCAGCAGCCAGCAGCTGCCTGAGTAAAGAAAGCCCCTAGCTTCAGTGGGCTGGGAGCAAGAGACAGACCTGAAGTCCAAGGTTGTGGGGCTTTTACCCAGTCCCTAGAGCCTGGTACTTTGAACTTGGATTTCTAGCCTCCAAAACCATAAGAGAATAAACTCCTGTTTGTTAAAGCATCCCATTTGTGGTATTTCTGTTAGAGCAGCACTAGGTAACCAAAAAAGCTTTCCACCAGGGGCCAGGGAACTGGGCTTTTACACACCCACCCCTCTGGGTCATGGTTACAGGCTGCTCCTGGCAGGTGTTGACTCTCCCACGCTTAATGCTTTGCAGGCCTGCATGCCAGAGGAGCCCTGAGACAGAGCTGCAGATGCAGTTAGTGGAAATCTGGCTGCAGGAATATGGGCAGGGCATCACACAGGCATTATCTGAATCAACCTTCATCAAGGCCAGGTTATGAGGAAAGACTGTATAAATATAAGACAAGACATATTAAATAGCAAGTAATAAAAAGAGTGGTATTAAAAGTGGCTTTAAATGAGGGAATCAGCATTAGCCCTTGTAATGGAAAAGTCCAAAGGTGGCGTGATCTTCAGGTATAGCTGGATCAGGGTGAAATATGTCAGCAGTCACCCCTCGTCCCCTCTTGGCCCGGCTTTCGTCTCTGTGCCCTTCCTTCTCAGACAGGAGATGCTGAGACAACTAGCAGCAGCCACTCCAGGCAGATAGCCCACCGGCCCAGCAACCCTGGCAGAAAAGAACATGGCTACTCTGGGCCCAACTGGCTGGTGCAAATCCTGGCCCCAGGACTAAAGAGATGAATTGATACAAGGTGCTTAGAGGAACACCTGGCTCAGAGCAAGTGTTTAGTCAGGATCACTTAGCACTGTTCTCAGGATCACCTGCAAAAGCCTCAGCACTACTTCTCATTGCCTGACCTGGTCAGAGGTGGTCATGTGAAGAGACTCAGGTGCTGTCACAACAGGAAGGGAGAATGGGTGCCAGGCAGCAGACTCCAAGAGCATCATTGTGGATACTGTTACCATCTCCCATCATCTCACAGATGAGGAAACCAAGACTCTGAATACAGACAGAATTTGCATAGAGTAGCACCCACAGGGATAGCTAAGCTAGGGTATGCACCCAGGCTTCTCGGCTCCAAAGCCTGTTCTCTGAATCACTCTCCTAGGCTGCGCCTCATAGAGCTGGCTGACCACAGAGGTGGCATGAAGTCCTACCCACCACCACCTGGTAGACCAGGCGTCTAGCTAGGTTCTGGCAGGCTCAGCTGTGATTCAGGCAGTGATACTTGTAAGTTTTCAGTCCATTACATGGAACCTTGGGTTGGAGAATCCAGGCAGCAGTTGAGGCCAGCAGCAAGTATTCTGGGGTGTACCCTGGTCTATGGGCAGGGCCAGCTGGGGAGGCAGAGCTGCAGAGTGCAGGCCCAGGGCTGCAAGTGAGGGTGTCTTGCAGTCCAGCAGGGAGAGGAAGTTCCAGGCAAGGTAACAGGGCATCTTCTTCACTGACTTCTCCAGAAACCTGTGTATACACCACCTATTGTATGGCAGCCCCTCTCCCAGGCACTAGAGGTCAGTGAACAATAACACAGACATCATCCTTGTTCTCATGGCATTTTTATTTTAGGGAGCAGAGATCTGTAACAAACAAATACAAAGATTGGATGGTGACAAAGACAGCAAAAGGATTAAGATAAGATGAGCAGGCAGATGAGGTCAGAGAGGGCCTCTCTGAGAACAGGACACTTGAGCTAAGACCTGAGTGATGTTAAGGAACTACCCCTTGGGCAAGGGGACAGCCTGTGCAAAGGCACTGAGATAGGAAAGAGCCGCTCAGGTGGCTCAAGAATCAGAAAGGAGGCTGGAGGCTGGAGGCTGAAGCAAAGGCAGTGAGCAGGGGGCGGCTGAAATGAGGTCACAGAGGTGGGCAGGGGCAGAGCACACATGACCAGGAGAGGGTCTCGGTGCTGGGGAGCCTGTGAGCCTTTGCAACAACAGGGCTGCCATGACTTGATGTACATTTTCACAAGATCCATCTGGCTGTTCGTGCAGTATGGCCTGTTGGGAGCCAGGTGGATGTGGGGTGACCAAGGAGGAGGCCACTGCAGTTGTTCAGGATGGAGAACATAGCGGCTCGGTCTCTGAATGGCTTCTGGACAATTCTGGAGGAAGAGCTACTTGGGCTTGCTGACGATTTGATTGTAGGGTCAGGAGGGGGAGATAGGTTTAAGACTAGTCATGACTATGATAAGAACCTGGGTGTTGGGGGCCCTGCGGTGTTGGGGAGGAGAGCTGGGACTCAGCAGTGATGTGAACCCAGGGGGGTCACTGGGTGGAATAGGTTCTGAATCTGTGTCACTGAGAAAGGAGATGCAGGGTAACCTGGGGCCTCACAGCTAGGAACTGGGTCTAGACAAGCTACTCAGTGCTGGACCCCTGGCCGGAGGGCTGAGGCCTCTGACCTGCGTCCTGCCTCAGCAGGGGGAGAGCTTGGAACTGCAGCCAAACAGCTGCAGATGGGGGATTGCTTGCCTCCTACCTTGAGGCGCCAGAATCCACTGGGGCAGAGTTAGGACTGCTAGTTCCTGAGGGCTCCTTGGCAAAACCCAGAGACTGGGAAGAGGCCTGCTTGGGGCTCAAGGAAAGTAAATCAAGGAAGGGAGTCACTGGAACCCAAGAGCTGAGAGCCATGTCAGCCCCAACATGCCAAGAGTTAAAGAGGATTCACACTTATGAACCAATACAGAGAGATGATCTATAGGAGTGAGCTGTGAGCTGTAACACATAAGGTGTCAGTGAAACCTGGTGGATTTGGGACCTCTCATCTTTGGTCAGGAGCTCTGGTGGTGTAGTGCCTAAGGCATTTGACTGCTAACCAGAAGGCTGGAGGTTCAAACCTACCAGCCACTCCTCAGAAGGACAGTTAGGCAATCTACTTCCATAGTGATAATGCCTTGGAAACCCAAGGAGGGGTCACTATGAGTCAGATCTGACTCGACGGCAGTGGGTGGCATCTTTGGTCAGATGAGATTTACCCAGGAAGGTGGGGAAGAGCGAGAGAGAAGAGGAGGCCATGGGACTAAATGCAGACCCAGGTCAGCGAGGATGTGGGTAGCAGTCCCGCAGGACCTGTTTCTCCCACTCCTCCTGGGTTGGCTGCACTGACCACCACTCAAGTTGACAAGCGTCAGTTT